CGACGGCCACCGCGCCGAGTTCGCCGCGTTTGCATCAAATGCAACCACCTCAACAACCTCATTCACCGGCCCCGGTATACCAGCAGCTGAACCCTGTCAGTAGAACATCGTTCTCCACCGCGGAAATACTCGCCTCGACGCATCAGTCGACCTATCAGACTGCCAGTGATCGACAGCCGCAATCGAGCGCGCCGGTCGTCGCACAGAGAACCCAATACTATCCCCGTTATCATCATCCGGACATCACGAAGAGCGCCCCGGTTCCGTTCAGCCAGAACTCGATCTATCAGTCGTCGAACGTGGCGGCGTCGTCGGCGGGTGGCATGCAACCGACAACGAGGACAACGCCGGTGGAACAGAGCAACGTTGGCTCCGTTTCCGGTCAAGGACGAACTCCGGAGCAAAGAGTGGCCAGTTCGTACGGCAATATCCCGGCGTCGAGCGCGGCCACGAATTACGGGCCGTCACAGAATTACCGTGTGTCGCAGCATCAGCAGCAACAGAGTCGATCAGGCTCGTCGAGTAACTCGCATTTGGACAGATCGCACCCTACGCGCGTCTCTTCGTCTCCGTCCTGTTCCTCGGCGAACCCGTGCAGCCCCCGTCATGCCGGCAACGCGAGTCACATTCCTTCGTCGTCTTCGTCGTCCTTTCAGAACCTTCCGGCGCACATTCCTACGTCGCACCTGCCACCTGCCGGAACCGTGCATCCTCAGCATCATCCTCAGCAGCAGCAGCAACAGTCGTCCCAGATGCAGCATCAACTTTCTAGTCGAATAAACGCGTCCCCGCATTCGATCGGGAACCAGTCGTACGGCGGTCGAATGATGGTTCACGGGGTCTCGGCGGCGTCCTCCTCCTCCTCGTCCTCCTCTTCCAGCGCAGCCTCCTCCTCGTCGAATCAGATGCCGCCGCCACCACCGGCGCTAAGCGGTTATCATCCCGTCGCTTCTCCTCACGACGTTCCTCATCACGCCACTCCATCGCCGCACAGACAATCTCCTCACGTGTCCACCCTGCACAATCCTCACGCCTCGCCTCATCACGCTCCCTCCCCTCACAGTAGCTTCCAGCCTCACTCGCCGACTTATCCGCCGCCACCCGCGGCTACCTCTACCCCTCACTCGTACAGCCTTCCGATCACGACGCAGCATTACCAGCCGAGCACCGGCTACGCCGCTAACCCGTACGGGATGCCGCCTCAGTCTTCGTATCATTCCTTCCAAAAGAATTCTCAGGCGGTGCACACTCAAGCAGCCGGTTACTATCCTCAGTCCGGTCGATCTCAAAGCCAGACGTATGTCCAGCAGATGCCGATGCCCGGCCTGCCGCAATCGATCTGCTCCGGAAGCGGAAACAGCAACGGTACCGGTTATCAGCAGAGCAAACCGGTTACGTACAATGGCGTTGACTCGAAGAGAAGTTCAATGGAGGTTCCGTACGGGTCCTATCGATCCCCGCAGACGTCCGTTCAGAGAGGCGGCAACACGCACAACCTTCCACCCATCGCCGCGCTGTCCTCCTATCATTCCAACAGGAGAGAAACCGCGGGCAAAGCGCAATCGATGCAACGGCAACGTGCCTACGCGGCGAGCACAACGAACAAAGTTTCGGTCGTAACGCCGCCCATTTCCTCCTCGATGGCCGCGCCTCAAAGGGTCCCCGAGTATCCCGTGACTTTGGCCGGCATGAATCACGCGATGCCGGTGAACGGAAGGACGACAACGGTGACGAATTCCTCTTACAGCCGATACGCCAGTCAACACGGTTACCCTACCTACGCCACCACCATGGCCCCCAGTCACCACGCCAATAATTCCTCCAGCAACACCACCGTCACCTCCATCGGCGTCAACGTCGTGAGATCTTCCGCTCCGACTACCTCGATGCACGCCTATCACGCGACCACGGACGCGACTCGCACCTCGTCCTCCTACCATCCGCAGCCCATAAGAACCAACGAGGATTACGGCTACAAAGAGTATACGTACCAGAATTCCTCCGCGTCCACTGTCCAGTCGACGCTCACCTCCTCCATCGTGACTCCTCCGTCGCAGACGAACGGAGTTCGAAAACGCGAATCCCCGTTAGATTTATCCGTGAAGACGGTGAAGACGTCGGCGGACTCGACCGCGCAAGATGACATAGAGACGATCGCGGCAGACAAACACGTCAGCAGTTCCACCGTCATTTCCTCCAGAAGCAACAACGCCAGGACGATGCTGCCACCCCCCGCGCAACCTCTTCCGCACACAGCCACGTATCCCGTGTACGATAATCGATCGTCGAACAACAACGGAAGAAGCATGTCGGCGACCGGCAACGTCAGAACCTCGACGCCTCAAACGGTTTGCGCGCCCAAGGTCGACTTCCTGCCGAATTTCAATTCCGCGCCGCTGCGTCACCACCACGGCCAACCGCACGAGAATACTCTTCAACGGAGAAGCTCGGCGCAACAGCTGTACGCTCCGCCTCCGCAGTCGCACTCCTCTCATCATCCTAATAATACCGCTCCACTGCCCCACATGTCCACGTTTAAAAAGACTTCACTGCCCACGACGCAGGTGTACGACGCGGTGACCGCGCCAGCGCCGCCTCCGCCGGCACCGTCATCCTCTTACTTGTCGGCCAACGACTCCGTTACCAGATCCTCCAGGTATCCGCCGTCTATGCTGGATCCCGCCAGGATAGGTCCGGCTGCGTTGCCCCTTCAGGACTATCCGCCGTCCGATCCGTCGAAATATTATCTGGACAGTAGAAACAAATTCGGCCAACCTCCGCCACCTCAAAGGGATCGGACTTCCTCGAAGAGACCCGGGGAGACGATTTACGGGGCCGGAGGGCCGAACAAGCAACCCAGGCTGGACATGTGGATTCAGCAGAAACTGTCGACGGCCAAGGCGCTGTACGAGCAGCAGAAACGGCAGGAAATGAATCTGCCCGTCCCTCTGCCAAACGGCACTCTGGTCGCGCCCAACACCTACGAACAGAGATCGGACAGCGGTTACTCGTCGTCCGAGTCGTCGAGGTATCAGCAAGCGTACTGTGATAAGAGGAGCTACGCGGATTCCAAGGTTACTCATAGTTCACCACCGTACAATCATCCCGTTATCACGAAGCCCGCGAACGTGCATTCTCTGCCGCAATCGCCGAGCACCGGTCATTCCGCTTATCCGAATTATCGACCAAGTCAGAAAGCAGCCGTCGCGCCGCCTCTCCTCGGCGCCGCTTCCGGCGGGCAGCCAGCGGAACCGCCGAGCAACACCGGTGCCGATAAACGAGTACTAAGTTTGCTGAGGAACAGTTTAGAAAATAAGCAACAGAGAGAGGAACAGCTGAACAGCCAGCAACCTATCCTGGCTAATCATGGTCAACAGAGTTTCCAGAATAAGGTAAGTCGCGTCGAATAAAGAGAATCTTCGACGAGTTTGTCCGAAATGGACAGTCGTTTCGGATCGGTGAACCGTTTCGTGGAAACCACGAGGAAACTCTTGCGTGTTCATCGAGAGATTAATGTAAACGTCATTCAGGATGTCGCGTTAACTCGCGGAAGTAACAAGAGCTGTCTGTTGTTGGACTAACGGCGATGTTCTCTATTCCCAAAGGTTGTTGCACCGGTCGAGCCCAAAACGAACATCGGAAGACACAACCTGTCACCGTTCACGGCGGCAAGCTTGCTGGAACGAAACAGCAACACGCCGCCCCATTACAAGTTCCATGTGCCGAGAGCCGTAGACTCGATCACTCAGGAGGCCCCCCGTAGCTTGTACGGCTCGAGAGTAAATTCATCCGCCACGCTACCTGGCAAGGAAGCACTCCTGGGACCCCGAGGAGCCGAGAATCAGATTCACCGTGACAAAGACGACGGCCTCGCCGCCATATTAGCCGCCAAGATCAGAACTAAGGCGGAACTTAAACAGGTGAATGAAACGACGCTGTCTTATTGCTCTGCTCGCTTAACGCACGGATTACAGGTTGCTGATGTACATCTTTTTCTCCTCCATGTTCTTACCAGGTGGGAACTGGCCATTTTACGACCAAGCCAACTACCGTACTCTCTTTGGACTCCTCGTCAACGCCGAAAGGTATTTATGCAATTATTTATATATTTGATCAAGAGTCAGAGTGTATTCAATTTTATTTAGTGTGTTCAACTGTTTGAATAGATGGAGTAATAATACACGTGAAATGTTAAAATGCGTGTTCTTAGATATCCAGATTTATAGTCTTAAATCCAGATTCTAAGATACCCGAATTCATAGATATGCATGTCGATCCAGATCCCACATTCTTACATTTCCAAATCTCTAAATTCCTAATTCATTTCATACATTTTGGCTTCGATCACTTCGTGTGTCGCTACATTTTCATTTTTCCATCACATGTCTTTAATCAGAAATCGTTTTAATCCCAGAACCAGACGGTGCTGCCTCAACATCGACACCACAGTCTGGCTCATCGACAGGTAGTCCTCCAAAGTTGACCCGCGAGAAAGTGGCCTCTCTACCACCCAGAAGAAGACTGTTCTCCAGAACGGAAGAAGAAAACATGCCAGTGGCCGCGACGGTTCCTGTGCCAGTTCCTGCGCCCGCGATCGCATCCAGCGTGCCGGCGAGGGCCAGCGGTTTTAGGAGCTCCTCCGAGACGTCGGTGTTCGACTTTAGGGAGAGCGACTCCGAGGGTGAGATGCCGGTTTTAGAAAGACAAACGCTCGAGGAAATGAGGAGAGACAGGAAACAGCTGACGAAAGTGCAACCACCCGTTCCTCTCAACGATGCTATGTGCATGGGTATGACCTCGTCGTCGGATCTCGTGAAAATAGAGCTGAAGGTAAAATTGATCTCAAATTATTTGTTCTGAAAGCTGTTCCCAATATAACCTATCAATAGACTGCGGATGTTGTATCAAAGTCTGCATAGGTCAACTCATTTGTAAACATTGTAGTAAATAGAGTACATTATGTAAACTTTATCGTTGATGTATCATAAATATAACATAGTAGTCTTATTAGTTCATTCTAAAAATAACTATCTTCCTCAAGCGGAAATATGTTCTTCATTATGTTTATAATATCCAGGAGAACGACAAGATCACCGAAGTAGACACGTTCTGGGCCAGCACCTGCGACAAGTTCATGGAACAGCTGCGTACAGGAGACGCGATGAAGAAGAGGAGTCGCAAGAAGAAGGTGAGCTGTACGATCACATCGAAGCTTGAAGACCCTGGCAACGACAGTAGCAAGGAATCCGATGCCAACACCTCCCAGATCAAACCGGAGGACATCAAGAAAGAGATAGAGGACATCGACTCGCCTATAGACGTGAAAGAGGAGTCTCCGGAAACGCTGATGAAGGACGACGAGGCCTCGATGCTGAAGGAGGTGAAACTGGAAGTGAAAGACGAACCGGAGGTCGGCAAGGAAGAAACGAAGAACTCGAGCGAGGAAGAAACGCCCGTTATTCGACGGGGCAAGAGAAAAGGGAAGAAGGACGACAGCGATTGCGAGGAGGAAATAATATCTAGGAAAAGGAGAGTCCGTCGAGGGAGCAGGATCAAGTTGCAGTCGTCCAGTGGTAGCGAATCCTCCAGCGAGGAGAGCGATGGTAGCACGGAATTTGGTCACGGCTCGACGGTGGCCGACAGGTTGAGAGCCAGAAAACGCACCACGCCGAACACCGTGGAGTCCGAAGGGATGAAGCTAAGATCGAGGGACGCGACTCCGCAGAAGGTCAAAGGGGAGAAGGAATCGAAGTGCTCCACCTCGAAGATCCCCACGACCCAGAAGCTCAAACCGAAGCCCCTGTTCGGGGACGGCAGCGACTTCAGGCCAGGCTGGGAAGAGGAGGTGTACGTGTACAAGAAATCGCTAAGGATGCCACCCAGGTTGATCACCGTGTCGAAACCGTCGAGGTTCCACAGGTTATCCACCTCGTTACCGGATCTGGACCCAGGTTCTCCGGCTCTGTCCGTGTCGATGGACAGCTCCGACGTGTGTCTGGGAAGGAAGAAGGTGGTGGATAGCGACGCGGAATCCAACTACAGCTTCAGCACCGCAACCTATGGGCTAGGTAGCAAGATCGACGACGAAGAAGCCACCTCCTCCACCACGATCTCCTGTCCCCCGAAGACTACCAAGTACTCGAAGATGGAGGGTGGGTCTATCGTCGACGTGCTGGCTCAGAAGGTGGGGACCAGCAAGAAGGAAATGAAGAGGAAGCAGAAGGAGAAGTTGGATAAAAGTGGAGGCAAGATGCTCCTGAAAGGCAGCAACGAACCGGAATTGCTTGCGACTCCCAGTTTATCGCCGTTGCTCGAAATACCGAAAGGTAAGTCACCGATGAAGGACAGCAAGTTGCTGAAACCCATCAAGGTGACCGACTCGTTCCTGCTCGGCTACTTCCGCAAGGAAACGGTCAACAACTTCAGGGACACGTTCAAGAACAATCATGTTCTACCGAACGAGTTCTCCACGCTGGTGCTGAAGAGCAGAACGAGGACCGAGACGAGGGTGCTGAAGAAACAGGCGACCATCAGGGAAGTCTTCGGGGAAGATAGGCCAGCCTCGGCGCCTCCGATGCAGAATCATGACGACACTTCTCAGGACGACGATTCGCAGAACGAGACGCCGGAGAACACGTTGGGTAAAGTGAAGACGTTGAAGCAGAAGGTTGTTTCGCGTCTGAAGAACGCCGGTATCTTGAGGAGTCACAAGGCGATCATGAACTCGAAAAGGCATCTGCTGATCGCGAAGAGGAGAAAGGATCTGTTGAAGTCGTTGGCCGAGAAGAAGCTGCAGAGCCTGAAGACGGAAGCGGACGAGGAAGCAACGCACGAGGAAACGAACGAGACGCAGGAAGCGGAAAACAACGAGCTCGACGATGAGACCAACGAGACGGAAGTTCCTAACAAGAAGAAGCTCAAACTGCGCACCACTCGGCGAAAGTTCCGCTCCGGATTCGACTACATTCGCAAGAAGAAGAAACCTTTGAAGAAGGACGATACGATACCTAAGGAGAGAAAGAGGGTATGTTTCAATTAACAGTGCACGATTTCTACCGACAAGCAGCCGATGATTTATGGAACGTGTGTCTTACAGCAAGTACTGACGAGGCCGAGTCCAGAATCCGTCGCGGACATCCAGACGGAAATTAGGACCTGGGTGATCAAGAAGGGGGTCGGTGAGACGATGCTGCATCGAGCTGCGAGGCTCGGATATACGGTAAGAAATATTTGATTATCTGCGGACGCAAATAGGGACTACGGTGCATCTGACCTCATTTCCTCCAGAATGTGAACTGAATTATTCTATGTAGTGTAAGGGATGTGAGATGTAGGAGTAAGGTGTTAATCTAATGCAGAGCATCACTAACAACAAATCTCGATTGTAACCCATCCAAACAAAAGTTCTAATTAAGTCAATGATCATCCGACAAATTGTCACTTACCCCAGTCTAAATTACATGTTTGAATCCTGTTTATAGGATGTGACGGCGTACTGCTTGGAGAAGCTTAATAACGCACCGAGTCCCAAGGATAACGCAGGTTACACCCCTCTTCATGAAGCATGTTCGCGAGGTCATCTTGAAATCGCGAAGCTGTTGCTCGCATACGGAGCGAATGCCAGTGAAAGTGCTAATGGAGGAATCAGGTAACTTGTTCTCCCAAATTACGCATCGTTTAACACGTTATCTACCACACTCACCTCTTAAAAATTTCATAAGACATGTACAGCATATAACAATCTAAATCATTGCAGTAACAATTAGTTTGTTATTCAAACATTGCAGTACCACTTAAGTGTAGTTGTTAAAACGTGTTCTTATGCTGCAGGCCACTTCACGAAGCGGCAGAAAATGGTGCTACCGAGCTTGTACGCCTGCTGCTTTCATATGGAGCTGATCCTCTGCTGGCTACTTACTCTGGGCAAACTCCACTGATGCTAGCTGCAGACACTGATGCGTACTCGATTCTGGAACAACATTTGGATGACATTCAAGGACGTGCGAGCACACCGTGGTCGTTTGGTGGGCCGTCTTCAATTTTTGGTAAGATACGAAGACCTTATTATTAACATTGTTAACAATAATCTGCCTGCAATATTGTTAAGACGTCAGCCTACTTATCAAAGTTGCTTGAGGTTCATATCCGAAAGTTCATTAGTAAAATAAACTTTTAAAATTCATTTCACTCAAAATATTTAATATAATTTCGAATTTATTTTGTTACAGATCCAGAAGACACCGGCTACAACCCCGTGGACGATCCGCCGATGGAGAATCCAGAACCAGAATTAGACGAGATCGAAATGGAAGTGAGCGACGTGAACCTGCCAGTGTTGTTCTCCCTCACGAACGATTCGGACAAATGGGTGCTGCTGCAGGACCTGATGGCGGCTCTGAGGATAAAGAGTCGGGACGCGTTGCTGCGTCAGGTGAATCCTAAAGCGCCGACGGGTCCTCCGGCCGTGGCTCATCGCGAGGTAATGAAGGAGCTAAAGCTCCAGGACTTCCTGGAGCAGTCTCGTTGCTGTCACCTGCTCAGCGGCGGCGAGAGGATCAACGTGCGCGGCTCGAAGGTGACTCTGATCAAGTACAACGACAAAGTGAGGTCCCTGTTGAACGTGGAGAAGGTGGTGATCAGCCTCAGGTGACAGGAGGCGTCTCTGGGGCCGTGTTCACCCCAGGCTAAACCGTCGACTTCCGCTACGAAGGAGGCCACCAAGAAGAGCTCGAGCGTTTCGCCTAAACGCGAGAGGCAGGCCAGAACGCGACAGGGTAACAAGACAGCTATCGCCGATTGAAAACGCGGCTGGAACTGTCCAGGTTTAAGCACCTGTTAACACATTCGGCTTTCCTTTTGGTCCGCGAACCGTCGTGAAATGGCGGGCAAGGTGCATGCGATGTGCGGTGCAAAATCGATTTAGGTAAAGTTTAGAGAGATGAACCGTCGAAAGTGTCGGCGTACCGTAACACGGCGTTTAATTATTTAGCAGTATTTATTGGCAAATGTTCTACGCTACTATTTGCGGATTACAGTGATATTTTATTGACATACTCCGTGATTTGAGCCCTGGCGATCATTCGGGTATTCAAACGCAACGCTTCTCTACGAAGATTGTCGTCGTTCCTGTCCGAGCATACTTGTACCGTATTTCGATAACTACTTAATTCAACGTTCGATTCGATGCAAATTCGAGAGCTGTAGAGAAAAACCTCGCGAGTACTCGGGACGATAGCGTACGAGATTCTTCAGAAATATTTTTTATCGTCACGTTGAAACCTTTGGTAGGTTAATGCGGTAGTGGATAGAGGTGCCTAGGTATAACATGAAACCACTGGTTGGTTACTCATATTGTGAAAATTTGGAAACCTGGGATTTGGGGACTACGAACTTTTGAAGTTCAGATAAATTTGGAGATTTGAGGAATTTGAGAATGTAGAAATTTGTACATTTAGGGGTTTGAGAAGTTGAGAATTTAGAAATGTGGGGATTTAGAGATTTACGCGTTTGCAGAATTTGTAGATTATGGAATTTGGGAATATTAGAATGTAAGAATTTGAGGGTTGGAAATTTTAGGATTTAAAGATTTGTGAATTTGTGAATTTGAGAACCTACGTGTATACTTGTATACATTTTTCGGGCACCATATCTGTCTACTGCAGCATTAACGTCGCTCCAGTTTGTCTCGAACTCGATCGTTCATACAGAGAATTGATACTCAATCGATAGTTTAAAAGCTGTACGAGAAACGGACACTGTAACACATACATTTTTTTTACGTTCTCGATACTTGGATCACGTTCTACGTTTAGCCGTTGACGTATAAATAGAACGGCTTTAGCTAGTAACACAAATACGTCATCGATGGAGTTTTCTTTTTTTCCACGTTACCAATTTGTTAATTTCGTTTCTCATTTCTTGTCTATTAATACCAGCGAGTCAATTATAGAGTATAATTCGATTGTTTATGTTTACCGTTTAGATATAAGCGAGCGTTGAATTTAGCCGTCGAAAGCGAAGCATTTACGTTTTCCGTTTTATTACCGTTGTATCTTCCTTTCCGTTCTGTTTTATCCTGGGATGTGCAATTTCGTCAATTCGCTTCTCGTCAAACGATTACGAGCCGACCGACGACCGATGAACGCGATCGATTAACGGTTCTGAACGAAAAAATGGAAAAAGAAAGATGGAGGAGAACGAAAATAGAGAAAACGTTGGATGTCGAGCGTGTTATCGGACACCGATTGGATCGTCCAGTGTTCACTGTGCAATAACCCTCGTCCGACTGGCGACGATTGGTTCTCAAATTAGCGATTTCCGTTCACCATGTTACAAATTAAGTTTAATTGTTCGCTTCGGAAGATGGAGGACGAGCGATCGACGCGTTCACTGTTGCCTAGTTGTATCACTTTTTAGAACGTTTGTCCTCTCGAAAATCATACATTGTTTAAGTTTTCTCGTCCTCTTCTTTTTTTTTTAGAGTTTCATTTATTGATTCAACGAACCATTGTTTGTTATCAATTGTCAACGTGTTAATTTTTATGTATTTTCTCGTTATTACTGATTCTAGTATAAATTACACTCGAATTCGAATGTTGCGTTAACGTGTTAAATACCTATTCATTTTCCAGTTATAACCTTATGAATGTAATATTAATATAATTGATATGGTACCTAGAATTTCTTTTAAAATTTTTTTATTCTCTTTGCCAGTCGCGGCATTCGTGTTATCCTCGGACTGCCAAGACAGAGATAAATTTATTTTTAACTTTAGTTCTTTCTGAATTTTAGATCAGAAGATTATAAAACTGCCTACTTTCGATCGAATAAGTTTTGTAGGTCTGGGTCATCCAGTTCTACTGTTTTTTAACACTTTGACGGTCGCATATACCATAAAATTATTTATTAACATTTTTTGTATTTAATAAGAAATTACATTTGAAAATTTGAGTTTATGTATGTTGAATAATTATTAGTTGTTTAATTGAATTGATAGAATCAAAATATCGTAAGGAATAATGACGTATTCGGGGACGGTCAAAGAATCTTTCATTTCTGAAGATTGTTAAAAAATTTGCATTAAAAATGTATAGATTTAAAATTAGTAAAACTTTACATTTGAAAATGTATGAACTTGAAACTTTGAATCTTAAAATATAAAAACTTGTAAATTTACCGATAAATATTTCCAAACGTTCAAATTAAAAAATAACCAAATTCCCATATATCAAAATGATGAAATCAGCAAATTCCCAAATATCAAAATGAAGTCAACAAATTTCCAAATATCAAAATAATTAAATCAGCAAATTCCTAAATCACAAACTTTCAAATTTCAAAATCAGGATCAACCAAACCTCCGAATACGTCAGCGGCCGTCAAAGTGTTAAATCAGTTTAACAAACTGCGTGATTAAGCGAAAACCCCCGTTCAGCAGTGAACGCGTTCGCTGATCGGCGCAAAATAATACATAAGGAGTACCGAAAGCAATTACTATTGAAACCGTCGTACTTAGTTTCTCGCGAGGAAAAAAGCTGCCCAAACGATCGGAAAGCTCCTTACGTGTTACGAAGCTTTTACGAGTGTTTTTGTTCAGCCAATCGCGCGTTTCCGTTTCACGGTACACACAAGATTCTTCAATTGTTATGATCAGTCTCAGGGAACTGTCTGTATGCGTATTCGCGATTATCCTATGCGTTTAAATCGATTGGACGCGACCGGCCATTGTCCGTGCTCGATCAATGTAAACGTTCGTTAGGGATGTTTTTAATTTAATTGTCCGGTGTAAAATATAGGCGAAGAAGTCGTAAACGCATCGAAAACGAAGGTTTGATCGAGCACGGCCTCCTTTTTGCCGGCCGCGCTCGTTAATTTTATTTAGCTGACGATTTACATGGATATTAAACGTGGACAGTGGAATGCAATTGACACGTGTACATACCTATTTTCGAATAAACGTATATGGCTATGGGGCACCGTTTTCGTTACAGTTGGAACATAGCGACGTAACTAGGTTAACTTTTTGGGGTAGGTTTTATGGTGGGGTATATTGTAAACCTTCAGATTGTTTTTATGTTAAATAATTCAGCTTTCATTTTTTGAAACACTTACATTTTTTGTATTTCAAAGAATTCTGTGTAATTTAGGTTTCTTTCTTAAAAAGAAGGGTGGGACTAGAATTGATTCAAAGTGTGAATTAATCTGATGAGAAATTATTGGAGTAGGTATGCTAAGGAGCAGAGTAAGATTTATTAAGAATGATGAAGATATATGAAGATGCAATGTTTTGGAAAATTAAAAATTTTGTAGTTGTTGAAAGTTTGAGATCTTTGGAGAGTTAAGAATTTGAGAATTTAGAGTCTTGAACATTTAAGAACTTAAATATAAAAATTTAAGAATGAAATCAGACTTACACCTGACAAACTTAAAGATTTTAAACAATATTAGTAAAGTGTCCTCCTAATATATCTTTCGATTCCAAAACCACCCCCCAGAAACTCCTAGTTACGTCAAAAGAAAAAACGTCGCCGGTTATGCGTGTAGGAGCGTAGAGAATAAACGGGTCAAATTAGGAGAGGTGCAAACTAAGAAGGTTCTTAAAAAAAAAAAATGGAAATTGAAACACGGTCTGTGTATGTAAGTAATTGTGCGTAATGTACCTTTTTAAATGTAAAGTAGAGGATACCGAGCAATAGCCGTAAGTAGCAGAAAGACGCTTGTTAATATTATTAGAGGCGTCCGTCACACGTGTAATTGTGTATAAGAAGTGCATACGAAAAGATAAAGTACCAGCGTTTTAGAGAAACTGTAATTTCAGCGAAACCCGAAATGAAAGGGGTACATATGCGTGTATATAAAAACTTTCTCGCAATATAGGGGCTACGCAGATACTACCGTGCTACTAATTAATTATTATTATTATCGTTAACTATTTACGATTACCGGACACCGATAACTACGATTACAGCTAATTACTATTACTATTTGCCACTACCACTGCTACTACTATCACTACCGCTACCGACAAAAAACTATATATATATATATAAATATATTATTAATTACCATTGTCACAACTATCCGCTTTTTTTATTGTACGATATATACATAATAGCGAACTATGAATGTACATTTTCTTAGCTGTATAACACGTTCTACACTCCCACCCTCTACCCCCGTACCCTTCAATTGTAATTTATATTAATATACGACGATAAATGTGTTAAAAGGGAGAAAAAAAACAGAACCGCTACTGCTTCGCGAGAAGAACGGAATTCTATGTGAGAAAGAACAAATATATTATATATATACATAGATATATAAATATAAATATGAGTATATATGTATATATACGTACATATATATATATTTTATTTCGACAAAAAAGGTTTAGTTTAATGGATAACGTTGAGGAAAACGCGACGGTGAAGTGTACGCAAATTAAATTCTCTCTGTGATTCGTCTAAAGAATGTAACTAAGAATGTAGTGAAAAGGAAAACGGCAAAAAGAAGATGAAAGAGTTATTATGATTTAATAAGCATTAAGTAGTATTATTACTGTCATTCGTCATTGCTCCGTACCATCAGGTTCAGCGAACAGACAAAATGAATGCAAGTCAGAATGGAACGACAAACTCGATTTTCGTAATGAACTCGACTCGTGAATTTTCTTTTCGCTAATAACAGTAACGAGTTATCCTATCGATGTAATAATAAAAAACAAGTATTTTTACCGATCTCCGATTTTTTATTCTGTCACTTCCCACATTCCTTTATTTTATTTTTAACATTCTCAAGAACTGACACTTTTACGGATCAAATTGTAATATTATAAATACTAGGTAGAAACTCAATAGTTCAGAAATTTGTATGTTTAAAATTTCAGAAATTTGGTAATTACTGCAAGTTTCAAAATATAGAAATTAAAAAATTTAGTAATTTACAAGACACTTTCAAATTTTCAAACCTAAGTTGTCAAGTTGTGAAAGTCATGAAAGTGTAATAAAATAGGTGTTTATTTTAAAAAACAGAAAAGATGGGGTTACTCAAAAAGCCGTGACTAAAATCGGTAAAACGTTTATTAACTATTTAAAAACGATGAAACAAGGTGAACATGAGATTGACAATTCAATAAGTAATATTATTAAATAGACTATAGAGGTGTATAATAAGTGTTTGTAGTAATTATTCTCTTTATACGTTCCTTTACATCGAGACAGGCGTCTTTTTCTTCATCATTTTCTTCGCAATGTTTTTTTACTCTTTTTTTCATAGATTTTTTAACTTATGGCGAAGCCTAGCTCTTTCTGTGTTCAGGCACGACCCGTGCAATTAAATCACGGCAACGCTTCTCGTCACTTGGCTCGTTCGCTATCCGTAAATACACGATTCCGTTTCGTTTGCAAATACGATTCTAAAAAACGCAGAATCCTCTGTCCATAGGAAAAATAGCTTGTAGAAAGCGTACTGGCGCTAATCTTTACCGATCGCGTTTCGGCACAGGGAAACAAAAAACCGCACGAGAAAACGCAAAGTACGTAGATTTCTACGAGCCTCATTCAACCAAGGGAGAAGCAATCGCCAAAAAATCACCGTGCAATCGACGATATCGATGTAAACGGTAGGGCGTGTGGCCATTTCGACGATATACAATTTTATTTTCGTTAGCTGGCCTTCGTTATTCTCTCGCAACGATGCTTATTAGTGTTCTCCGCCATTTTGTCGTGCAACATCCTCACGCTCGATTTCATTCTCTCCTTTTCGTAAGTACTACGATCGACGATGTTCTCGATTGTTTTCACCTAAGTCTATCTGTTCGATCATCGCTAAATTCGCCGCTAAATTCTTCGACACGCTCGCGACCTTCGCGCTGCAACTTCTCGAATTTCGTGTGAAAAAATGGCTACGAGGCGTTTCGTCGATCGAGCCGTTCGATTGAGGATCAACTTCGAATTTTCACGACACATCTTCATTCGCGTCACGCTCCTTTCGTCCGTCAGCTTTCTATGGATTGGCACTGGCCAATCGTAGAAAACGACACCGGAAATTAACAATCGAACGGTACACCTCTTCGAGAAAACCCGCTTCGAATCCACGCCGTATGCTACCCACCATATACCATCTCGATTACCCGGGTAACAGGTATTTACAATAATATATATATATGTGTATATATATATATTTATGTATACCTACTATCGTAATAATAATTTAGTAGTGGTATTTAAATTACAATAGTGTTCATTCTTTCTCTCCTTAACTGTCTTCCTCTTTCGCTCGTTCTTTCTCTCTCTCTCTAACGCTCACACGTTCATACTCTCTTCCTCGCTTTCTCTCTGTATATATATATTTATTTATTTATTCATTTATTTATATATATATTTATATATATATAATGTTGCACATAACCCAGTACTGGCTTAGTAATCTAGCTGTACAAAACATTATATATCGCTAATCTAGCATCTAAAGATTTGTCCTGTGAGGTTTGATGAATCGTGAGGTTCGTTACATGCGTCCGGATTTTGTCTTTGTCTCGTCTCTCTTTTGAAACAGATACGAAAAAGTATGTCCCGTTCTGTTCTGCGTTCTTTGTTCTTTTCATGCTCTCTCGATTCATTCTCTACGCTCGAATGTTCGCCTTCGAAACGCCGTTCTAACGAATCTATCTCGATTCCCTCGTACTCCTTCTCTCTCGCCTCTTATTGCGATTAAGTACATTAAAAAATACCGCGCTACTTCGCTCAGAATTAACCGGACCAAGCTATACATATACAGTGATCGGTGAAGCCAAGTGTTATTATTTATTTATTATTATTATTATAATAATGTTATTTTTTTGTTATTTTATTTCTGCGTATCGTGTCTCTCCCGTTCCGTTCGTCAACTCGTGTTACGCTTATCGTCGTCGTCGCGATTTGCGCGTGAAGGAAACGAAAACAACAAAAAGAGAATTCTCCCTTTTTTTAAAGCGTCTAAACGTGCTGTGCGCGTCTTGCGAGCGATCGCGACGAGAATCTACCTTAAAAATCTACTATTCTTCTTTGTCGCTTTTTTGTGTCCTTCGTGTCGCTCGTACGTTCGATTTCAATCGAGTCGATGTTTATTGGTCGCCTGTTTCGACGCGTTCTCGTTCGAGCTCTAACGAACAGAATATCTGTAGAATTTCGATTTGAAATTTCAACTATTTGGACAATTTGATTATTCGAATAATTAGAGTTTGATGATATTGGTACAATTCGGGGTCGAGGTCGTATTATTCAGATAATTTGAACATTTCGATCTTTAAATATTCAATTAAATGTTAGTAGAATTCAATTATGAAATTGAAGAAACTTAGATAGTTCAAATTTTCTGATAATCAAATATGACTGGACTTGAAGAAGCATTTAAAATTCAAATAATTCACACAATCATTTGAGCGTCCGAATTATTCCAACAATCAAGTCATCGAATTTTAAAGTTACCCTACTTATTTAAATAATCAAGTGCCCAAGAATTTCAAATAATCCAAATATTCGAATAGTAGCACAGTATCGTGCACGTTGCAGCGAACGCGTCGTGGCAGATCGATCGACAAGAAACTACGACGCGAATCTTTGTTTTATCTTTTCTCATGTGTATATAAAACATACACACACACACACTCACACACGTAGTTATATTTAGTTCGACTTCGATCGCGGCGATCTCGTCGCGCGCACATTGAAATCGATTTCGAGGCGAATACACGACCATCGGAGACGGTTCGTTCAACCGTTTTCTTCCCTCCGATTACAATGAAAAAAAAAGGGAGAGTGCGTATCGACGATTACAAATTACGAAGCTCGAGTAACTGTTTCGTGTTCGTTGCGACGGGGAGGATGCGCTGTGTCCCGGGACGTCGTGTATTCGTGTCACGTGCAATGTCGTAGCAAAAATTCAAGGTAGACGAACGCCCGTGACGATGATGTATCTCCTTGTTCGTGGTTCGACAAACCCGGTTCGATACGTGAAGAACATCGTGGTACAACGAAACACTTTTGGTATCTTTAACACTATAACACGGATCTTCGTCTGACGGTGTCTCGTCAAAAATACTAACATGCTACCATCCTTATTCGGCAAACGACGAATCCTAACATCGATTGTTTCAACCTTTCGTGATCGATAACGTAGCTCCTACCCTCGCGTGTATCCTCGAGTTCCGAGGAAACAAACACGCTAACGATATACATATTAACTTAATTTTCTCCTTTCGAGATTGTTGTTCGGTTATCCGTTCGATTAGTCAGAGTCTTCTCGACGAGCCTCGCGGGCAAGGCAAACGTCTCGATCGTGTGTTACTCGATTTGGGCAGGGTACGGGACGGGTATCGGGATGGGAACGGGGAAGGCATTATTAGAGTTACTCGATTATTTTATTAAGAGTAATTAAGCTTGACGCCTCGGAGGTAAGGTCCAAGCGTTCGGACCGGGCTGAGCGTTGGGGGCAGGACGTCACAGTTGCTGGTCCCTGCACGGTACCCAAATGTTCGGTCCTGATTGCTCGGCGATCACCTCCTTCACCTTCACGTAGATCTCTTCAGGCGTGTCACCTTGTACTACGGCTGTAACAAAAATATTTCATTCTTTATTTTATAGCCATTTTACATTTCATTCTTATTTGGTTGCGCTGTTCAGATTCTGATCTTGAAGAGACATCACCTAGGTGAATCTGTATCAATTAAGTGAATCTACATCGACTAGATTTATGGGTATACCAGTTAGGTCAACCTACATCAATTAGTTGATTTTATATCAACAGGGTGAATGTACATTGGCTAGGTGAATCTGTACCAGGTAATTGAATGTACATCAATTAGGTGAATCTACATCGACTAGATGAATTTATGGGTGAACGTATATCAGTTAGGTGAATCTACATCAATTAGCTGATTTTATATCAACAGGGTGAATGTACATCAGCTATGTGAATCTGTATCAGCTAATTGAATGTACATCAACCAGATGATTTTATGTCGACTAGGTGAATGTTCATCAGCTTTGTGAATCTGTATCAGCTAATTGAATGTACATCAACAAGGAGAATCTACAACAACCAGGTGAACCTGTATCAACTAGCTGTTCCATATCAACTAAGTAGATCAGCTGTCAGAATCTTTATCAACTAGGTGAATCTACGTCAACTGAATCCACTTCAATTAGGTGAATCTATAGATGACTATATCAAAGATGTAAAATGAAATTGCTTACCAGTAAAATACTCTCCAAACTCTTGTTCCATCTTCAGAGCTCGTTCGTACGTCTTTTTCGCCTGCTCCTCGGTCATCCTCTTGTTCATCTCCCTACAAAAATCAGTTGTTAATGAAATATATTCAAGAACTATATAGGTTCTACTAGATATCACTTACATGACTGATTCCACGGACTTCGGTTTAATGAAAATGGCGATAGGATAGAGCTGCGCTACTTGTAACCTCTTGATGGCATTTCCGCTAACGTCGAGAATACAGTGCTTTCCCTGAAATCAAGTTAGGTATTATATTATGTACTGAGCCTAATTAACATGTACACAGTCTTATACATGTACACATAAATATTTGAAAACTATTTGTAATACAAAATAAGTATATGGACTATTCTATGTATGTCTAGACGGAGGCAGATATAGGATGTATTATGTTTAATTTTATTATTTTGTATTTTTGCTTTAACTACCTTTTCAGCCACCTCTCGAACAGACGCCACGGACGTTCCATAAAGATTATCGTTGTACTGGCCAGCCTCTATGAACAGATGATTCTGAATATCCCTCTCCATTTGTTCCCTGGACGCCACAAAATGATAGTCTCGACCATCCACTTCGTATTCCCTTCTACTCCTCGTTGTGTCTGAAACATTTCCAAATTTTTCACTGAGACTTTAAACTTGAATTTTCAGACTTAACCTTGAAATTTCGAGACTGAAACCTCAAGACTTCTTAACCTTGTAACCTCAAAACTTTTAAGTTCCGCTATCATCGAACTTTCAGATTATACGACAAAGTCTGAAAACTTGAGAAATTCGAAAGCTCGAATATTTGCAAGATAACAAATCATCTCAAACGTGAAAAGCCATTTTCGAAACTATATCTCATAAACTATATCTCAAAATAAATAGGTGAATGACTTACGTGGCACGCAGCTGCCGAATCTATCAGGGAACTCGGAGATGAGGTCGTCGTTGATGCGATCCTTGAGTGGACCCAGAATAATGACGGGTCGAGTGTACTGAATGGTGAGCTGCTGGACAGCCTCGTACGACAGCACATTTTCTTCGCTGCCTGCAATTTTTTGTATAAGTACATTCTCGTCACCTCGACACCCTCTGTGTTCTTTGTATAAAAAGCTTTGTTATCCTCGGTTAGACCGGTCGCACTCTTTCAAACACGCGAAGACAAACGTTTCTCTTTCGACTTCCCTCTTCGTCGAATTATCAACGAAAGAGAGAGAGAGTAAAAATAAAGAAAATAGAAAAGTTCTCGTCGCGAAAAGATTTGCTGCAAATCGATCTCGATTCGTTGGAGTTAGGTTAACGGTTGCACAGAAACGCGGTCGATTATTCAATGTCACCTTGGAGTGAGTGGTCCATGCTTTAGCACCTAGGAGAAGCGAGGAAAGGTAAGCTCCCTAGGGAATAGTACTTAGGCGATCGAAGAGAGACAGAGAGTGCCAAGGTTGATGTTGCATCGGTTAATGTAGTGGCTATGCTAACAAAACTCGGAGTTTGCACTTTGAAATCGATACCCGATGCTACGTAACGGTAACGATTTAATAGTACGGTTACTGGAGCATGGCGTTTCTCGTTGCCTATTGATTGCTTCGGTAATCAGAGGATTTTTGTTGAGGATATTTTGCGCGTCGGTCAATTTTGTTGAATTGTCAAGATATGATTTAGGTTTGTGGAGAGGTTTTGCAATTTGTGGATCTGAAGTTTTATATTTGAAAATTTATGAATTTTTTAATTTTAGGGTTTTACAATTTCCCAAATTTCCAATTTCTCAATTTTCAAATTCCACAATTTTTCAATTTCTCAATTTTCCAATTCCACAATTTTCCAATTTCTCAATTTTCCTATTCCACAATTTTTCGATTTCTCAATCTTCCAATTCCACAATTTTCCAATTTCTCAATTTTTCTATTCCACAATTTCCCAAATTTCCAATTTCTCAATTTTCCTATTCCACAATTTCCCAAATTTCCAATTTCTCAATCTTCCAATTCCACAATTTTCCAATTTCTCAATTTTCCAATTCCACAATTTTTCAATTTCTCAATTTTCCTATTCCACAATTTTCCAATTTTCTAATTTCCCAAATTTTCAATTTCCTAATTTTCCAATTTCCCAATTTCCCAATTTTCCAGTTCCCCAATTTATCAATTTCAGAGTTTACCAATTTCAGCTTTCAAAATATTTCAATGCTCCAATTTCTCAATTTCCCCATTTCAGCATTTCCACATTTCCCAATTTTCTACATTTTCCAATTTACCATTTTCTTATTTTTCAAATTCCTCAATTTCGAAATCTTCAAATTTCCCATATTGTAAATTATCAAACATTCCGCAATAAAATTTTTTAATTTCCAAATTTCCATACATTAAACCCTCCAGATCTGCAAATTTTCACCCTTCAACTCCTCTAAATACATAAACAACTAAATACCTAATTTGTACATTAAAAAATTAAAAACCATCCACATTACAAAATCCACAACTTGAAACTCCCAAAAAAGTGAAACATCAAAACTTCCCCAACGAAAATCCTCGTTAGCAATAACTATACGTTCAGGTACACATCACCACTACAAAATTGCAACAAAAATCGCCGAATGTCTTCCAAATTTTCATTAAGCTTATTTTACATGTATGTTAAGCTCAGCGAGAAATAAATTAATTTCGTGATTGATTGAATTTATAAGGGCCTCGACTGCTATGATCATTGGCCCAATTTCATGATTCTATCCTAGGTATCCAATCCTTGTTCGGGGTAGGTTAATTAGTATACAAATAGAACTCAAACGACAAACAGACAGACAAAAAGCACGTCGCGGCTGTCCCAACTGCGCGAAGCGTTCCGGCGTGTTGTCAGTGCGCAGGGTAGGGTCGGGAAAAGTTAAAAAAAAAGTAAAAGAAAAAAAAACAAAGTGGATCTCGATCGAAACCACGTTCGACAATGTTAGTCTAAGGAGGTAATTCAGCATAGGTATGCTGGTTCACTCCTGTTCACACAATTGACTCGTTTCATTTATTTGTTATCACTTACTAAACTCGTCATTATTCTCATCATCCTCCTTTTCCAGATAAACTAATGTCAGTTCCTCCATATACGGCAGTTCAACACGATATAAAATTTCTCTACTCCCTGCGACGCAAGATAAATCTTTTTGTGAATGAAACAGATGGAAGAAGCGCGGCGTGAAATGAAAGCGGAGACGAAGAATGAACGGTCGTTTCGCTCGTTCATGACGACCACGAACGTGAAATCGTTTAGTGATAACGGATATTAGTTTCGAAGATACGCCGACGGAATTTCAACGAAAAAAACCCGTTGGTTTTGTTCCCTGGCTGATCGATAATCGAAAACCGCGTCGCGAGAGCTTGGAGAAATATTAATTGAAACGAATCGTCTGGACGAAAAACAAGGGGAGAAAGCTAAAGTGGGCTCCATTTTGTTTCTGGTCACCCGGATCAACAAATTCAAGCGAACGAACTCTGAAAGCTGGGGTACTTTTGTCGATCGTGTATTAATTTCTCTGGTGTGATCGATCAGTTGCGTATGAAAGGGTTTTGAAATATAAAGTCATTGAATATTAAATTTGATGAAATAGTTATTAACGTCGATCATTTCATTCGCAACGGTTTAATAAAATATGCGCAGTCGTTCATGGAAATGTTCGAATGGTTGTTTTCGAATTGATGGAAAAATAAGTGGGTTTGGGTTTATTATATCAAGTTAAAAATATTTTTAAATCGAATGTTCAAATTTTTGATTCTCTAAAATTCTGCATTTTTTAATTTTCTTATTTTCTGATACTTGAATTTCCCAATTTTCCAATTTCCTAATTTTCTAATTTCCCAATTTCCTGATTTTCCAATTTCACAATTATCTAATTTCTTCATTTTTCAATTGTACAATTTCCCAATTTTCCAATTTCTTAATTTCTCAATTTCTCAATTTTCCAATTTCTTAATTTCTCTATTTCTCAATTTTCCAATTTCTTAATTTCTCAACTTTTAGTTTCCCAATTTCCCAATTTTCCATTTTCCTAATTTCCCAATTTCCTAATTTCCTAATTTTCCAACTTCCCAATTTTCTAATTTCCTAATTTTCCTATTTCACAATTTTCTGATTTGCTAATTTTCCAATTTTCCAATTTCTTAATTTCTTATTTTCTCCATTTCCCAATTTCCTAATTTTCTAATTTCTCAATTTTGCATTTTCCTAATTTTCCAATTTCTCAATTTCCTAATTTTTAAATTTCCCAATTTTCTATCTTCCCAAATTTCCAAACATACCAACTTCAAAATTGTCCATTTTTCAAATCTCTAACTATCTAAATTTCCCACTTTCCCCACATCTACCTCAATCCTCCCAATATCTCAATTTTCAAATTTCTCTGCTTACCATTATCCCCCAAAATAATTTTCCAGCCCTAACATTTTCATGATCCCTATACTTCCCTATACTTGCTCCCTCAACAATCTTGCAATTTTCCACAACGACTGCGCATCTAACTTGTCCTCCACAAGCATAAATTACCACCGTAAATAAAAATGCAAACGCAAACTATTCGCAGTGCCTCGTGAACGGCTATATATCCGAGGTTCCGCATAGTTCGCGATAAGGACTCGGCAGCAGGATTGAAACAGGCGAAAACAAAATGGCCATCACGGTGTCCTCTCGAAGTCGGTGGATCCGTTAAATCGACAAGAGAACGGGAAGCCAACAGCCCCGTGCTATTCAAAAGTAACAACGCGCCACGACAAAAGGACCTTACCGAACAATGCACTCGCTCCGCGGCTGGATCGTTATATCGCGGTAATGAATGTGTGCTTTGTTAATTGATGCGACCGAGATGAGGCTGACTGGTAGAGGAAGAACACGGGAGAGAATACATAATGGAGACGAAAATGAAAGGCGAACAGAGAGGGGAAAAAAAGAAGATACGAGGACCATGTGTGATCTGTGTGTATATGTGTGAAAAATATGAAGATGATCAAGAGAGAGAGAGAGAGAGAGAGAGAGAGAGACGTGATTACCTTCGGTGTTAGTGTCGTCCTGGGTGTAGCACAGCATGAATGCTAAAACATAACAAGTTCAATATTTCAGTATACGTTGCGTACTAATAAGCGGCCGTTAATAATTGCTAGGATTAATTAAGCATTAAGCACGAACAACATCTGTCCTACCGTCCAGGCTAACTGGGGCTATCGAATGTATCGATGCCAATTCTTCGAGCTTTTGAGCTTTGTTGCTCTTTGTATTGTTCTTTTTGCGTGGTGAGTAGTAAGAAATCGGGAGGCTTGTGGCATATGAACACTTTGACGATTGTTTTGGATAGCAAAATTTGAGTAATTTTGGGGTGTGATTGTTGATCAATTTGTGTTTTGAAGCTCTGTGATGGTAAATTATTGTTTTGTAATTTTATGTAACATATGGTTATATGTGGTATCAAGTTCTGATACAGTGAATGGATATACAATATTTTGAGATATCGATGTACCGACGCATTAACGTGTTGATATATTAGCTTCTCAATAACGCGGTAGAATATCATCGCTTTGATATATTAACGCATAGGTATATTCATGTGTTCACACATCAACGCTTAGATATATCGATACGTTAACATATCAGCCTCTCTATGTATTAACGCATCGAAATATCGACGCTTTGATATATTAACGCATAGATATATTAATGCGTTGACATATCCACGCTTTAATATATTAACGCATAGATATATTAATGTGTGGACATATCAACACCTTGATATATTAACGCATAGATATATTAATGTGTTGACATATCCATGCTTTGATATACTAACGCATAGATATATTAATGTGTTGACATATCAATGCTTTAATATATTAACGCATAGATATATTAATGTGTTGACATATCAACGCTTTGATATATTAACGCATAAGTATATTAATGTGTGGACATATCCACGCGTTGATATATTAACGCGTAGGCATATTCATGTGTTCACATATCAACTCTTAGATATATCAATACGTTAACATATCAGCCTCTCTATGTATTAACGCGTCGGAATATCAACGCTCTGATATATTAACGCATAGGTATATTCATGTGTAGACATATCAACGTGTTAACACATCAGCATTAGAATATTACCGCTTTGATATATTAACACATATGTACATTCATGTGTGGACATATGAACGCTTTGATATATCAACGCGTTAACATATTAACGTCAGTATGTATGAACATGTCAGAATATCATAGCTTTGATACACTAACTCATAAGTGTACTAACGTAACATATCAACGCTTTGATGTATCAATGAGTTAACATATCACAACCATACTAATTCGTCGAAATATCAACGTGTTGATGTATAAATCAAGATATCAACGCGATGAGGAATTAGTGCATTCATATATCAACGCATCGAAATATCAGCGTATCCATATATCTATGTATCGATATATCAACATAACGAGATATCAATGTGTCCATATATCAACGCGTAGAGGTATTAACGCTTCGGAACTGTTATCACGTCGACATATCAGCACTTCGTCATATTAATGCGTCGAAATATCAGCGCATCGACATATCTGTGTATTGAAGTATCTGTGGGTTCAAATATCAATAAGTGGTTTATGATAATATGACTGGTGATGATTGTATATCATTAGTATAAAATCATTTTTAAATACTGATACCAAGATGTTAATATTTAAATAATCAACTATTACAGACATTATGAAAAAATTATAAATTAATGCAGAAATATAAATTTGCACAATGAAATTGAAATCGTCAAAGTGTTAAACTCGATGTTTACTACGAATTTTCTTCCACAAAGTAAATTAATGAAAACTAGCATTCTACGATTTTTAAAACGTAATTTATAGCTCTAACTGTAAGAATTTTCTCGCTATCGTATTAAAGCTTACTTAAATGAATGTTTAAATTCAAACTGCATATTTTGTGTATGGACTATCTTTTCTTGAAATGGTACCTAAATGAAATAGATACTGAAGGGTATATTTCTGTTGATAAATAATAATGTTTGATTTACCGTCCAAATAAAACAATCGTCGTCAAAGAAACACTCAAGCACGATAAGAAGTTCCAAATTATTCTTTTATAAATTGCAGAGAACGTAAGCGAGCAACATCGAAATACTTTTGTACATTCAAGTGCAATTTAGGCTTCCTTGTGATGTGGATACATATTCAAAACTTGACAATTTTTAAGTTTAAAAATTTTTTAATTTGTAAGTTGGCAATTTTCCAAATTTCTAAGTTGGCAATTTTTCAAATTTCTAAATTACCAATTTTCCATATTTCTCAAATTTTCTGTGGATTCAAAAATTCCAAAATCCCCAAATCTCAAGGTACCCAACTTCCATGGTACTTAAATTCCTATTTTCCCAAATTTCTACATTTTCAAATTCCAAATCTAAAAATTCCAAAATCCCCAAATCTCAAGATCCCCAAATTCCATGGTACTTAAATTCCTACCTTCCTAAATTTCTAGTCCCTCAAATACCTGCATCCTCCAATTCCTATATGACCAAATTTCTGGGTCCCCCAATACTTACATTGCCAAATCTATAGATTCCCATTTTTGTAGATCCAAAAATTCCCAAATCCCAAATCTCAAGGTCCCAAATTCCATGGTACTTAAATTCCTATCTCCCAAATTTCTAGTCCCCCAAATACCTATATCCACAAATTCCTCTTTATCCAAATTTCTAAATCCCCAAATTCTCACATCGCTTTTCTAGATTCCCATATTCTCATATCCCCAAAATCCTCAAATCCTAAACTCCTCAAATTCCTATGCCCCCTTCCTACATCATTCCCAACTAATCCCCAACTTCTCAAATTTCCAGATCTCCCCAAAAACCCTCCAGCCTATATCTTTCACACATCACCCATATTTTCCTTAAGGAAGCCCTTACTCTCAACTGCACAAATAGCTACATGCTGGATCTCTAAAAGCATTCTAGTAACCCCGAAAGTTTAGTCAAAGGTTAGAAAGCGAGTTAGTCGTGTGTGCCAAACATGCAAGATCGATCGTGTGAAAACACCAAGGCAATGATGGTGGTTTGCGTGTCAAGCAAAGAACATACGAAAACCAGTGATCTCAGGAGTGTAAAAAGTTTAGGGTCGCTTGATTATCGTTTCTGTCCATCTATTTTTTTTCAAATTTCAATTTGAATTTGACGAGATAGAAGTGTACAGTGCACGCGACTCGCGAGTAATCATACGGACGTGTTGATGTTCGTGTGGTACGTGTATGATTGTATCTTGTTTCTTCTTGTTGAACTAACTATGGAATACTTACGTGTAGGATCGTTTTCGTTCTCGGGTGTCGTGGGCGACCCTACACAAGCAGGCAAAAACAAAACACATGTCACGTTTTCACATGGTAAAAAAAACACAAAAGCTCGGATCGGAAGTTGGGCTATCGTCGCACCTGTCACGAATTACTCAAGCGATCTTTTTAACTATCCAATCGCTATACGGAACAGATCATAAGGTTTAATCGATTACGATTCTCGTCTTTTATTTTGTATCGGAAGTGGAGAAAGTTTCTACGTGGACGTCCATGAATGTGGTAACCATTGGCGTAATTAGGATTCTTTGGTGGACTGAGATCTTCTGTAGCACTTTTAGTTCATTTTATATGACAGATTTTTAGAAATTTGGGAACTTTGTCTGCAAATTAATTTTTGAGATTAAGGGAAATTTTCTTAATTTCTCAATTCAGTGGAGCTTTTGGAAATTTTTGAATTAAGATATTAAAAAATGTAGTAAATTGTAGGATTTTAATATTGGAATTTTCAATTGGAAATTCAATTGAAAATTGGAAAATGGAGACATAAATTTCTATTTAATTTTAGCTATTACAAAATGTAAACAATTGTAGGATTTTAAAATTGGAAATTTAAATAATCAAAAATAAAGAAATGCAAGATTTAAAAATTTGAACTTCTGTATTGTCTATCAATATTAAAAAATCATATAACATCAAAACTGAAAAATTCACATTTAATAATCTAGAAATGCAAATTCCCAAATTTCAAACAAAAACACATTTACCAACAATCTCGCATTATTTACCCCACAATTTCAAATCTACTAGTCAAGCTACAAAACCCTAATCACCCTAATCATCCTAATCACGCCACTGGTTCAAACTCCGAATAAACACAACCGAACTACGACCAAATTCAGGGAATAAAAATTCGTCATTGCATTAAAAAAATCTGACAGTGAAGATCGTTGCAAAGGGGTATTCTCAAAACACACGTGACAGGAAAAAAAGGAGATACTAACTGTAAGTTTCAAACACACGGTCTAGATATAATAGATATATACGTAATATGAAAATAGTGACTGAGAAATACGAGAATATAATAAAAAAAAATAATAAATAAATAGTCACGTAAAAAACACAATAGGTACGGGTCTGAACATGCACAGAACGTGCAGGATACGAATGAGTCATGTTTCAAGAGACACTCACGTTCCTGGTCCGAACCGTCCTCGGATTTGTCGTCCTTGCTCTTCATAAACGGGAATTTCCTGCTGAACGAGAAGTTTTTCTTCTTCCTATCCAATGTCGATTGCTGCAATCCATCGATCTTGCGTTATATAAATGCACAATGCAGAAGGTGATCAAATAAAGTTGTATAAAGGTGTTGAATCAGGAGTTGGTGCGTTAGATGTGTGGTGACACACTCTTGACGCACTTCGAGATCAAGTATTGTAATTTTAGTACAAGTGAATTTTCAATTCGGGTGTAATAATTTATATACTAATGTCAAAGCAGGAGTTGGTGCGTGAGATGTGTGGTGACACACTCTTGACGCACTTCGAGATCAAGTATTGTAATTTTAGTACAAGTGAATTTTCAATTCGGGTGTAATAATTTATATACTAATGTCAAAGCAGGAGTTGGTGCGTGAGATGTGTGGTGACACACTCTTGACGCACTTCGAGATCAAGTATTGTAATTTTAGTACAAGTGAATTTTCAATTCGGATGTAATAATTTATATACTGATGTCAAAGCGGCAGTTGGTGCGTTAGATGTGTGGTGACGCACTCGCGACGCACTAGTAGTTCAAGTATTGTAATTTTAGTTCGAGTGAATTTTTAATTTGGGTGGAATAAATTATATACTGATGGCAACCCATGAGTTGGCGCGTGAGATGTGTGGTGACGCACTCGTGACGCACTAGTAGTTCAATCATTGTAATTTTAGTAAGTGTGAATTTCCAATTTGGGTGGAATAATTTATATACTGATGGCAACCCATGAGTTGACGCGTGAGATGTGCAGTGACACACTCGTAACGCACTTACAGTTTAAACATTGCAATTTTAATACGCGTGGATTTTCAATTTAGGTTTCAAGTAAAAGCTCCCCATCGTGAATACTTTCGTTACATTTCGGTGATTGAAAATAATAATCACAACTGTTGAACACAAGTAGTATTATCTCATTCTCGAGACGTTTGCCTGTCACTATTCTTTGATGTCAAAGCAGGAGTTGGTGCGTGAGATGTGTGGTGACGCACTCGCGACGCACTAGTAGTTCAAGTATTGTAATTTTAGTTCGAGTGAATTTTTAATTTGGGTGGAATAAATTATATACTGATGGCAACCCATGAGTTGGCGCGTGAGATGTGCAGTGACGCACTCATGACGCACTAGTAGTTCAAGCATTGTAATTTTAGTACGCTTGAATTTCCAATTTGGGTGGAATAATTTATATACTGATGGCAACCCATGAGTTGACGCGTGAGATGTGCAGTGACACACTCGTAACGCACTTACAGTTTAAACATTGCAATTTTAATACGCGTGGATTTTCAATTTAGGTTTCAAGTAAAAGCTCCCCATCGTGAATACTTTCGTTACATTTCGGTGATTGAAAATAATAATCACAACTGTTGAACACAAGTAGTATTATCTCATTCTCGAGACGTTTGCCTGTCACTATTCTTTGTCTATGTCTGTGACATCGACAACCAATACTACTGTCGAAAGTATGTGAGAGCCATTTCCCTATTCGGACCAATTGTAGATCAGCTTCTAAACAGCTGTCTTCACGCGCCAGCTCGTGCGTTGACATCGGTAACTATACCAGACTATGGTCAACAAACTATGGTCCTCCAAACATTTTCTGTCCCTCGAGTTTTACATATAAATCTTACACAAGTATATGAATGTATATAATTTGTATATAATTTTGTACACAAATATTGTACCAGTGCATATTTATATCCAAATATAAGTTCATATAATTAATAAGACATAAAACTAATAGAAAAAATATTAATCTGATAAAATTATATGATTTGATTGAGAATTCACGACGGTCCTTCATTCACATAGTGTATGTAATGTTCCCATATTTCCACAAATTTTAATCTGGGTCGTTTCCTAAAATGCTCACAGCAGAATTAAACTGTGTGAAGTGTTCTCAGAGCTTTGTAAACTGTGATTTGGTTTGTTACGATTAATATCGTTCGGGAATTTCGGCTATGAATTATGGAAGTACATATTTCCAACATTGTTTCAGCTAGCTTCATCAGTAATGCACCGTTGAATAGTACAATGAAGTACTTATAGTATTGTTAGAAACTGATGATAGCTGCAATGTTAACGAAATGTGCAGCACATTTTCCTCTCTACCAAGCTTATATTTGTAGAGTTTAAGCAGCACGAGAGTTTAAATCCTTCTGATTCCACACTTCACAGTAGGAGTTTTGAAATGTATAAATTTTAATAGAGTTGCGGTGTTAAAGTTAATAATTAAAATAGGGAAATGAAGGTTAAAATATTTTTAAAGTTTGAATATTTACTAGAAAATGGGTATTTTAATTCAATACATGTTTCAAGTAAAACAATCATGAAATATTAATAAAATGATTGGTGTTGAAATATTAATAAGATTATTGGTGTCAAAATATTAAGAAGATAGGGATTTAATCTTGAAAATATCATCTCATAAATTTCTCAAAGTCTTCCCCTAAAATTTTCGCAGTTAAAATATACTCATTATTACCGGACTTTCTGGGGCAGTATCACAAAGGTTCACCGAAACAGTGAAGAACCACTCCGCAGCAACTGATACTAATTGCTCTCGCGTGAACCAGAATGCACGCGTTAAACATTGTCTCAATTTGAAAGACTCGACGGGCACTTAGGCAAAACAAGTGCCATGACGAGTCGTCAAATGCACCCAAGGGGTTAAGTACCCTTGTTCTTAATAATCCGTATCATAACGTGTACGTCCACAAACGTTCACTGTGTCAACGCTTCAACGGTAACGAAAATAACTGGACTCAAGTGAAATATTTTGTATACGTAAATCAATTATTGAAGGAAGAATGGTGACTTGTTTGTAACAAAAATAATTCTCCTTGTATAGATAGATTAATGATTAAATAGAAGAGTGTTGACTTGGTAATGAAAATAATCTGACTTAAATTTTACACCCTATATAGATAAATCAATTAAGCAGAAGAGTGTTATCTTATTAACAATAAAATTAATTCGACTTAAATGAAACTCCCTGTATACGTAAACAAATTATTAAACAGAAGAGTCTTACAACAAAAATAACTTAAGTGAACTACCCTGTATACACAAATTAATTATTAAGTACCGACTTTGTAATAGAAATGTACTTGAATGTGACACCATGTATGCATCAATTGTCAAAGAGAAGTGTCGTGTTTGATTTAGCGAATGGTAGTCGATCGATCAAGCTTACCTTGTCGAGGATCACCGGCATGTGGCCTTGGAACTTGACAGAACGATCCCTGGCGCGTTGCTTCCGTTCCCATCGTCTACGAGACGGTATTATACCGAGACCCTCCTCCTCGCCCTGAGGAGTCACTCTTCTAGCTTGCCACCATTCATCGTCGCTGGCGTTTGTCACGTGTAGGATTTCACCGTAACGGAATGCCAAACCACGGCTTGGCAAACCGTCGTCCTTGTTCGGGTCGTAATCGAACAACGCTCTACAACATGGAACATACAAACAACATCCTCTTATTTCACATTATTCTTTCATTTGAGATGCGACAGGATAACCTTCATGGCTCTTTGCGACAAACAGGACGAAGTTACTGAGTGTCATGGTATTTTATGATCATGTTGGATCAATGCGACTTCAATTTGAATTAGGTCAACGTGATTTAAATATGAGTTACATCAATGCAAATTAAACTTGAGTTACATCAACACGACTTGAACTTGAGGTACATCAATGTAACTTAAACTTGAGTCACATTAATGCAACTTGAACTTGAGTTACATCAATGCAACTTGAACTTGAGTTACATCAATGCAATTTGAACTTGAGTCACATTAATACAACTTGAACTTGAGGTACATCAGTGCAATTTGAACTTGAGTCACATTAATACAACTTGAACATGAGTCATATTAATACAACTTGAAGTTGAGGTACATCAATGTAACTTGAACTTGAGTCACATTAATACAACTTGAATATGAGTTACATTAATAGAACTTGAACTTGAGTCACATTAATACAACTTGAACATGAGTCACATTAATAGAACTTGAACTTGAGGTACATCAATGCAACTTGAACTTGAGTTACATTAATAGAACTTGAACATGAGTTACATCAATGCAGTTTGAACATGAGTTACATTAATAGAACTTGAACTTGAGGTACATCAATGCAGCTTGAACTTGAGTTACATTAATAGAACTTGAACATGAGTTACATCAATGCAACTTGAACTTGAGTCACATTAATACAATTTAAACTTGAGTTACATTAATAAGACTTGACTATGAATGAAATAAATGAGACTCATCTTAGCATTGCAGTAATAATTAAATAGAAAAGGTGATAGGTTAAGAAATTAAGAAAGCAATGAAGGTGGACTTACCTAACGTAAAGTGATTTCTTCTGCGAGGTCCTCATGAGGGTGCCTGTCATCATATTCTGCTGAGAGATCTGTTGTTTAAGATCATGGATCTTGGCCTCGAATCTGTTGTAATCTTCGGGCTTGTATTGTACCACAATCGTCACTGTCTGCCCGGTGCCCTGTACACAAACACCAAAATCTTATATCTCAACATTTTTACAATTAACCCTACCTGTATGTACCAGAGGAGTACAAATGTAAGTGAATATAATAAATATATAAATAAATATAACAAACGCAAGTAAATGAATGTGAGTACATGTGTGAGTGTAAGTACATGTGTGAGTGTGAGTAAGTAAAACAACCTTGCATTGAAAATAAAGATACCCCAAGTGTTAAAGACACCTTAAGCGTTAAAAAAAACACTAGTGACGATACCTTAAGGGCTGCAGCAGCCTCCTCATGGGTGGCTGTCCGAAGATTAATGCCATTGACGCTGAGTATCTGATCACCACGTCGTAATTCACCACTGAGATCTGCTGGACCTCCGGCTAGGATGAAGGAAATGAAAATTCCCTCGCCATCCTCGCCACCGACGATATTGAAACCCAGACCGGAGGAGCCTTTGTTGAGCACGACTGTACGCACCTCTCTGCAAAAGCAATTAAGAAAAGAGTTGCATGATTAATACCTTTATGTAACCTTTTATATTCTTCTTTCGTGCTACTTTATTGCCTTAAGTGTACTATCGTGAACCGAGATACTTTACTTCTTTCATTCGGAAGATAATTAGTTTTGTTTGAAGGTACAATGGTTCAACTGTTGATACAATCAAGATACAATGGTACCATATATAATATAACATATTATAGTTTCTTATCGGGTACTTTCTTTCAACACACAATATACTTGAACCTTATCTCTACTTATTTAATATTGCATATCTTACATAAATAAATTAAAAAATCATTAAAAATCTTACAAGCTTAAAAACTTAAAAACTAAAAGCTTTTATAAAAAATGAGAAATCTTGTTAAAATACGAAACATTTCAAATTATTCATAAAATGAGAACAGACAATAATAAGAACGGTATTCCCTATTCAAGTCTCGTGATTAAAAAACGGTTTAATCAAAGAGTTCATAAAGCAGATACATAAAACAATATCTTAGGAAGAAGCGTTCGATTCTTGATCGAGAAATAAGAAACGAGAAGGTGTTTTCTTTTTCCCCGGGGGCAAAGGACAAAGTTTTTTCATTAAGGATCCACGTGGTATCGAGTTCTTAAACTATGTCGCCGGTCATTAATTGCTCCGCCTTTCGCAGTACTTTAATTAAAGTCACCGCGCTGAGGAGACACCAAGCGTACAAGCTGGAATAACTTTCAAGCGACACGAAGCTTCGAACGTGCTTGTAATTAAATACTTTTAATCTGTCCTGAGACGGCCGATTAAGCACTGTCATACTCCTGCCAGATGAATCGAATGTTATTGACAAATGGGTAGATAAAGTGAGCGCTGGAAATTGTAGACCACCGGAGGTGAAACTGGGGATATTTTTAGACGAGTTGTGGAATGAGATTTGTAAGTTGTGAAGATGACATTTTTGGAGTTCTCAAATTTCCAAAACTCTCAAAGTTTCAAACACTCAAATTTCCAAATTCTCAAAGTTCCAAGTTCTCAAATTTGCAAAACTCTCAAAGATCCAATCACTCAAATTTCCAAATTGTCAAAGTTCCAATCACTCAAATTTCCAAACTCTCAAATTTCCAAATTTCTAAAAATTTCCAAATTCTCAATTTTCCAAAACTCTCAAAGTTCCAAACACTCAAATTTCCAAATTCTCAAAGTTCCAAGTTCTCAAATTTCCAAAACTCTCAAAGATCCAATCACTCAAATTTCCAAATTCTCAAAGTTCCAAATTCTCAAATTTCCAAATCTCTCAAAGATCCAATCACTCAAATTTCCAAATTGTCAAAGTTCCAATCACTCAAATTTCCAAACTCTCAAATTTCCAAATTTCTAAAAATTTCCAAATTCTCAATTTTCCAAAACTCTCAAAGTTTCAAACACTCAAATTTCCAAAACTCTCAAAGTTCCAATCACTCAAATTTCCAAATTCTCAAATTCTCAAATTTCCAAATTTTCAAACTTCCAAAACTCTCAAAGTTCCACACACTCTAATTTCCAAATTCTCAAATTTCCAAAACTTTGAAAGTTCCAAGTTCTCAAATTTTCAAAACCCTCAAAGTTCCAAACATTCAAATTTCCAAATTTCCCTAGATCCAAATTAAAAAATTTCCCAAATCAATAACCCCCAATTTTGCAAATTCCCCAATTCTCAAAATTCCAAATCCCTAAACCCCAAATTCCTAAATCCCCAAATCCCAACCCCCAACTTTCAAAATTCAGAAAACATCATAAAACCCATACATCAACCTACCTACCGCAAAATCCGCAGCAATAAATACCACTTTATTCCTCTAAAATTCAATTGCACGTCCAGCAGCCCGTAACGCAATTCAAAGCAATTAATTCGATCTCAAAGTATCAGGCAACAAACAGCTTCGCCACAGTGCAGCACGTACTGTTGATTCTAGGAAAAGGTATAAACTATAACGGAAAAAATATCGAATTATCTTTCGTGGAGTATTTTTTGCTGTTATAATAACACGGAATAAAGCATAGCGTGTGGTCGAGGAATTCTTTTTGGAACGATCGTTTGCTCACCGAGCCATTCTGGCCAGGAGTGTGCTCGACGCCGGAGAAGAGCGTGGCATAGAACGAACGAGGGAACACGAAATTCCTTGCTGTTGTTGTTGAAGTTTCGTGAGCCTAGGTAGTTAATCACGTAGTGGCAGGATTCGGTTCCCGTGGGCAATGCACTAGATACTCACTCGTAGACGGGTGAACGCGAAACAATTTGCGAACGAAACTTCGTTTCCCTATCTTGTCCGCGAATAACGTGATTTCGAAAACATCGCTGTGGTTTCTCGATACTCGGTTCTTTTTTTGGAAATACACTTTTTCTGCGACAACGGTATTATGGCAATTAGACTGAGACAAAAGGTATGGGAAAACTAGTTTTCGCAAGATTTTTTGTGCTTTATTGTTTTTTTTTTGAAGGTGGAGATTTTTTTGACGAAGTTTGGAAGAATTGAATTTCGTAAAATGAGGTTAGGTTAAGTTTTTGCATATTAGGTTAGGTCAGATTAGGTTTATTTACGACACATTAAGTTAGGTTAGGTTTACTGATATCAGGTTAGGTTATATTATGTTTATTCGTATCATATGAGGTTAGATTAGATTAGGGTTCCTCATATGAGGTTAGGTTAAATTAAGGTTACTCATATGAGGTTAGGTTAGGTTGGGGTTACTCATATGAGGTTAGGTTAGATTAGGGTTATTGATATGAGGTTAGGTTAAATTAGCCTTCTTCAAATCAGGTTAGGTCCAATTAGGTTTATGAATATCAAGTCAATTTAGATGTGATTCATGTTAGATGTGGTTATGTTAGCACAGGATTAATCATACCAGGTTAAATGAAATTAATTTTAATCATCATCAGACTAAATAAAACCAATTTCATCCAAATTAAGTTAGGTTACATTACATCAATAATTATTTTGTTCATATTTTTTCATTTATAAATACTCATCATATCTAAAACTCTGTATAGAAGCCAACATTAGATACGTAGCAGTGCATGATTTTATATATAATTATAAATGAATTGAACATTAACATCAATATAAATATTCTTCATAACTAAGACTTCCCACAGAAATCATCATTAGATACCTAACAGGGTATGATTTTATGTATTCAATTGAATACATGATGAATTCAGAAAGTTAATTATGTTAGCAATTAACAGAATAGGAAATAATAGAACAACGAAATAATCGACTGTTCCAAAGGCAAGAGGCAGTTCATTTCCGTGCGACAGGAAACCTACAGCTCCTTAGCGACGCAAGCTGCAGAAATTCCTTCGGGAAGACACGTGTTCCCGACTACTCGTCATTTTCACGAGTGCTTGGTCTTGCGCGGCTCGTTCTCGAGCCAGATACTCCAGTTCTCGCGAAGGCAATTCGAAACGGTCGAATTTCAATGGAAGTCTTAATTAACGCTGTAATTTCGCTGCGTACGCCTACTTGCGAGAGAAGCTCGTTGCATTCTATTATGCGCAGACGTGTACACACATGCTGCGCACGTCGAGTAATATTTGCGAAAATTCGTTGCTTTCAAGGAGAGACAGGTGCACGTGTGCGGTTGAGTGTCGCATACGAAACCTCACCATTCAAACCTCTACAAACCCTTTGATCCTTGCCAATAGCGAGCTCGAATGAAGACTGTCAATGCATCGTTGCAATCTTACTTCATGTCAAAGGAAACTAATGGAGTCGAATGCTAGGAAATTTCTAAGTTTATAGAGGGATTTCAAATTACTTAAATTTTCACATTTTTGAAGCTGCAAATTTACGAATCAAATGCAATTTCGCTAGAATAGGTTATTTGAAGGGGTACCGTAATTCAATTTTAAAGTTCGATCATTGTAACCCAACGAATGTGATCTCGAATTCATTGTTATTGGACTCGGATGCACTTAACGATTCCGAGGTTATCGTTATCGAACACTGTTACTGCAAGGTCGTTAACATAGAATTCGAGGGTTGTTCCAACTGAATGCTGCGATCAAGAGTCGTTGATTTTGGACATTACTATCGATCATGCGAACTGAATCGAGCAGATAGAGAATTCGTGAAGTAAGTGAAAATGATCTCTTACTAATATACCGATGAAAAATCATTCAACTCCTACTTCCTTCTACAAAAAATTTTCTGCCAAATTCTATAGATATTAATTTTCCATAAAAACACATTCTTCAAAGGAACAATCATGCATCACATTCGTAACAAAAATAAAACACTCAGTAAAAATATTACAACACACCGAGTGTATTAAACACTCGTACCAATTAATGCAATCAACTAAGTAAACATAATAATGAGGTAGATACACTTGTTTAAGTAGATCTACTTAAGTAGACAAACTTGTTCTACTTAAACCGAGAAGCAAGAAGTTGTAACAGGAAAAAAAAGATAGTTACACGGAAAGCTCGAATCACATTGCAACTACGACTGCTTTAATTAAGCCACGCTGTTAACAGTTCAACGACCCACGAATTTTCAGCAAGTCGAGTATCAGTGACAGTGGTAAGGAAAAAAGTAGGATGTTCTAATTAGAATTTTCGTGGAAATTCAAATCCATTCCGGAGGAATCGTCGTTTAAAAGCGTTAACGCGGATTCTCGAACCCTTTCTATGCTGCACTCGTCCCTTTAACTTTAACCGAAGGGAACGATCTGTACCCTGAAAAGGTCGATTTTCATTCCGTTTCAGAGGATTCACTCGACACCGGGTCTTCTCGTTTACGTTAACAAAGACCACAAATTTGTGGTCGACCGGTGCAGCTGCGTATCCAGGCTTCCATTAAGGTCACGTCGCAATGCACACCATGGATTAACCGAAGGGCGATGCTGTATTTCACCGTATACTGAATTTACGCGAAATTTCAAACGCACTCGGTCGTTTACGATTTATCGGTACTGATATTTTAACGTTTCTAAATTAATTAGTTTCTAAACTTACAAAT